TTGGAAGGCTGAGGCGGAAGGATCACTGGAGCCCAGCATGTCGAGGCTGCAGTGGCCGGGAGAGGCCACTGTACTCCAGTCTGGGCGACAGAGTGAGACTCCAACTCAAAAAAAAAAAAAATAAAAGAATGTCAAGCCAGACCCCTCATCTTTCTGGTCACCACTATTGTTAATCACCAAGGTTCCTAAGGAAAAATGACCCTAGGTGTGTGCCCAGTTTGTTTCTTTTCTTTGTTTCTTTCTTTTTTTTTTTTTAGAGATAAGGTCTCACCATGTTCCCCAGACTGGTCTCGAACTCATGGGCTCAGGTAATCCTCTCACCTCTGCCTCCCAAAGTGCTGGGATTACAGCCATGAGCCACCACGCCTGTCCTCAGGCTATTTCTTAAAGCCTTGGAGAAATTAGGAGATGAGTAAGGGATGACAGGTGTGTCAGGAACCTAGGCAGAATTCCAAATGAGAACACAGAAGCTCTGAAAGGGCCAGTGAAGCCACTGTGGGCCCTCAGCAGGGCAGCTTCCATGCCAGGACTTAATCCAGATCTCTCCGCTCTCAGAACAGGGCTCTTTTCACCACAGGATTGTTTTTCCCAGAAGGTCTGCCTTGGCTGTAATTCCTAGTCCTTTTCCATCCCTGGAAAGGAAGGAGGCCAAGAAGGGAGTGGGAGGGGAAATAGCCTAAGACTTCAGAAGGGCAGAGACCGCCAAGGGGGTGGTGCCAACAAGGCCCAGTGCCCTCCAAGTTAGTGTCCTCCAGGCTGAAATTGGGACATGTGGTCTGACAACCAAAGACTATTTAAATCCTGGCTGTAGCTGTTGGGTACTGGGAGGCAGCTGTGCAAAAGGCAGTGGCTTTGGGGTCAGACGGACCTGAGAGTGAATCCAAGCTCTATCACTTTCAAGCTCTCCGCACCTCACTTACATCTTCTCTAAAATGGTGACAAAAGAGTTATTGTGAGGATCCAGTGAGTTAACTGTGACATTAATGAGTCATGTGTGTAAATGCCCAGAACTCTATTCATTTATGGATTCATTCATTCAACAAAAATTATTATGCACCAACCATGTGGAGGGCAGCCTACCAGCAGCACAGATACAACAGCAAGCAAAACAGACTCAGACCCTCATGGAGCTTAGAGTCTGGGGAGGAAGAGTGTTGTTAACCCTGAGATCAGACAAATCCAAATACAGTTAGAAACTGAGATAAGGCTGGGCTCAGCAGCTCAGCCTATAATCTCAGCACTTTGGGAGACTGAGGCGAATGGATTGCCTGAGCCCACAGGTTCGAGACCCACTGAGGCAACTTGGCAAGACCTCGTCTCTACAATAAATCAAAAATTAGCCAGGCATGGTAGCGCACACCTGTAGTTCCCGCTACTTGGAAGGCTGAGGCAGAAGGATCGCCGGAGCCCAGCAGGTCGAGGCAGCGGTGGCCAGGAGCATGCCTCTGCACTCCAGTCTGGGTGACAGAGTGAGACTCCAACTTGGGGGAAAAAAACAAAAAAAGAAACTGAGATAAGCTGCCGGGAACAATGTGTTTATGAGAGTGACTGTCAGGGGATGGGGTGGGGCACAAGGACGCTTCCCGAAGAGGTGACCTCTGGGGTGGGTTAGTGAACAGGGCTTCATGCACTCACAGATGAGTACGAAGTTAGGAGAAGCATGGCAGGCCAAGAGAAAGGGTGTAGAAAGGCATGCAGGTCAACGAGGTGGTGGCAGTAGGAGGGAGATCAGAGCACCCAGGGTCCCTGAGCCACCACGGAGAGTATCATGGTTATTGCTGAATAGGTAAGAGTGTTACAGGGGAGGGAAACTGACTGTGAAAGTGGGACTGTTCCGCAAGCGTTTCTGTACTTTTCTGATAGTCCCTGAAAGAAAGCAAGCTTTGAGGCAAACCCACCTATCTGAGTTTGAATCTTGGTTCTGCCACCTCATCTAGGATTGGGCCACCTTGAACAGTCACTGAATCTCAATGTACTTCAGCTACTTTTCTGAGGAATGGGTATAACGGTAGAATGTCATAAGGTAGGGGTGAGGATTTGTTTTATTTATTTTTTTTAGAGTTGGAGTCTCATTCTGTCGCTTAGGCTGGAGTACAGTGGCATGCTTACAGCCACCACAGCCCTGACGTGCTGGACTCAGGCGATCCTTCTGCCTCAGCCTTCCAAGTAGCTGGAATTAGAGGTGCACGCTACCACACCCGGCTAATTTTTTGATTTATTGTAGAGACGAGGTCTCACCAAGTTGCCCAGGCTGGTCTTAAACCCCTGGACTCAGGCAATCCTTTTGTCTCCACCTCCCAAAGTACTGCGATTATAGGTCTGAGCCACCACGCTAGGCCAGGGGGTGGGAATTTTTTTTTTTTTTTT